GTGAAATGTTATGAAAACATGAACCAATAAGTAAGTAATTAAAGTTTCACTGTTGTAAGTAGGCTTAAATTCGCTGAAAATGAAAAATCCTGATTTGGCAATTCCTTCAGTTATATCATACGATAGACGAATTAAATGAAGTAATTAAACTTAGTATGAAGACACTAAATTATACCACTCATATTAGTTAGCCGAAAAACTTCATCTAACAACCTTACATCTGAATAGGACGGTATTTTCTGAGGAAAAAAAGGAAGCATGATTCAAAAAAGACACCTTTCGACACTTTCATACACTATAGCTGTACAATCGTAATCATACACAATTTTACTTTATGAATGTAACCAATAATTTCACATTTTGAAACACAGTAATAAACAAGGTAAATGCAAAGCGGTTATGATTAATGCGTGCCAATCAAAATTTGATGGAGGTACACAGTAAAGGTGAATAATTGTCGATAAACTTTTACGTATAATGAGACCAATTGCATAATGCATTAACTTGCATCAAAATAACAGATTAATGATCCCGCACAGATTTTCAAACCATTGTTGACTGTCAGTATATGCACCTCAAAATGTCTGTTAACAAAACAGACAACACTTTAGAAATCTTTGCTTGATTCTTTTAGCTATGAAATAAAGTAGATATCTGTTTTCCACCAAAATATTTTGCAAAATTTATTTCTGCTAATATCGTATCAAGGTAACGTATACGTTTAATGCGAATATCGAATAATCCAATCGTATATATTCTGAGATTTATAAGAACGCATAGGCAACAACTCTATAATTATTCACCTTTATTACACCTGCATTAAATTAATCCTTAGCCATTACCCATTCTGTTTCGCTCTTATACCTGTCACACTCTATTGATTCTCTTCACTCATCTTCTTGTCTACCATTGTGTGTTATTTGGAACGTGGCAACTCGAAGTGCTGCTCTTCGGTGCCAAGTTCTATGTTGAATCCAGACAGACAGAATCTTTAGCCATTGCATTTATGTGCTTTGTTATTCTGTTTTAAATATGGAATTACTGGATATATTTGTGAAACGAATTGTGTATGATTTTGTGTGAGTTCGACCCTCGGCCGACGCATTCCTTTACCTCGCTAAGCCAGTAATAAGACTAGTAAAGGGGCAAGGTGAAGCATGATGCTGGCAACCCCATCCCTTAAAAATAAAAACACCACTGCTATTGAAAATTCAAGCCTCTAGCTTGAAGCCCTATGTTCCACACAGGGAACGTAAAGGAATAAATAAAAACACGATTGTACAGCTGTAGTGAATGAAACTGTCGAATTGAGTACCTCTGCTGAATCGCTTGATTTTATTTGCAGTTGACCAAAGGTAAATCCCATAATGGATGAATGATTTGTAAACCATTATAACTGTTTGTTCTCTAAGTACAGAGTAGCCAAGATATTTAAGAAAGGCATCAAACATATTCACTCCCTTGAAGCACATCGCCGACTATAATCATATGTAGAACAATACGTTAATGTAACTAAATCCAAAGAGGTATATACTATTACATATATATGAAATCACTGGCTAGTAGACAACCCCCTCCCCCACCTGTGGAAATAAGTAGTCAGAGGGGTTATAAAAAATAGTGTTAAGCATTCCAATGGTCTAAGTCATTCAAAAACCAGTATCAATATTTTTAACTTTGTGTTCAACCTATTTCTGAACTACACTCGGTGTTATTGGGTTTTTTTTTTTGCACAAGACAGTAAAGACTTAAAATAATGCCATACATTCCATTTTCTTATGGTCTATAATTAGAATTGTTTAGCTTTAATTGATCTGATTAACTAACTACCTGAGGCTATGGAAATAATTTTCCACCAACACATACAACCAACTGTGTGCATCATAGTAAAACTAAATCTAAGTGTATACTACTTATTTGAATGGAAGGAAACCCAATATCAAATACCACCTCTATCTATGCAAGTTTTTGCATATATATACATATATATATATATATATATATATATATATATATATATATATATATATATATATATATATATATATGATCAATTACTAAACAGTATCAGTACGTAGAAGAATTCAAGCAGAATATTGGCCAGTTTTGTTGAGTTTTTTTTACCTCTAGTAAAACCAGTATAATCGCAATCAATAAAACAAATTGTAGCTAACAGAAGACAATTTATACTAAATGCACTTTGCATGTAATATGTAAGACAGGATTCATTTGAACAGAAACGAGTTCATACATATATATATACCTAGTTTTAGATACATATATCCCTTGTGGAATGAAAAAACAAAGATCCTGATTTTACGCAACACTGTTGCCTAAGCCACGTACGTACGTACGCAGGTAGTTACTAGTTCCTGCCTACTTAATCTGACTCTAACAAAAAGCCTATAAGCGTAAATGGTGAGTTAACAGGCGAAAAGTAAGACCTAGAATTGACAGACACTTTCATTTCATTTTTTTAAATATTTTTGATTACAGCTTGATTCCACACCGTATTTTTGGTACAGGTATGGAATTTTCAGCATGTGATATCGGTAGGCCAAATTTTGCAGGCCGACCATAGATATCAAGTGTGCGTCGGCAGGGGATCAAACCCCGGACCATGTGCATGACCGGCGAGAGTCATAACCGCTGGTCAAAGATAGTTAAAGGGCTACTGAGTAGGTGAAAAGTCAAACGGTGAGAAGTAGTGTTTTTTATACATATGTTTTGCTCGTATGTATAAATATGCAGTATTTACATATACTCTGAAACTTCCATGATTAGTATTTTAAAACCTCACTGTCTGCAAACAAGAAGCCACTTTATATACAACTACAATTCAAGGGTGATATACCAAGTGAGATAATTACGAAGAAATTAAGAAAATCAGTTCAAAGAATTTTTAATGCTGGCGAACTACACGTCTTATTCTCTAAACGACCGATGGTGCTACCTCAACTGAAAGATGAAGTTCCTAGGCTAGCCACTTCAAATTGTATCTACCAATTCAACTGCGCTGAGGGTGGAGCGAGTTATATTGGCCGTTGCTCTAGGAACTTGATTTTTCGTGCTCGAAAATATCTCTCACTATGACTTAGTAAAGGTGACGTGAAAACCATTAACAGTTCGATATTGAACCATTTGGTGCAAACTGGCCACAAAGTGAGCGTGGAAGAATCCTTCTCCATCATCTGGCGGGTGCCGAATGAATTACCAAAATCATCGAAGCACCACATGCTCCAAACAGCAGAGGCTATTACAATGTGCCTCAAACAACCAGTGCTCTGTGTTCAAAAGAAGCAATTCCAGCCCCTACTACTGCCCTGGCTGGCCTTCAGTAGAGACTCTAAATTCATGAGTTTGTAATATTATCTTTCCTAATTTTTCTGATATTCAGCTTATTTTATGTTGATGCTATTTAGCTGTAATCTATCAATATTATTGATTCGATGTTATTTAAACAACATGAATGTTGTTCATAACACTAATTCATTCATTCACTATAATATATATATAACTATAGAGCCTGATGATGAAGTTATCGAAAAGAGTACTCTTTGTTCAGTATCCAATCTTTTGAAAATTTTAATAAGCATTTTTAATCATTTAAAAGTAATATAGTTTATTCTTCAAGGATTTATCTGAAGGGATTCGATTTATTTCAAGTTTGATCATTGAAAACCAAGGAGTACTGGACAGTTGTTTCGTCTTAGTTTAGGACACGTCACCAATACACACCCACCGGGTGTAGACCATTCAGCCACTGGAGACTGACTCAATAGCCGATCAATCCTAACTCCCGATACTCCTTGGTTTTCAATGATTCTTTAACTGATATCGATTCATGGTCAAACTTGAGACAAGCCAAATCCCTACAAAAAAAACTACTGAAAATTAATCTGATGCTCGCTAGTGACTGACTGCAGGACACAGCTGCTCGCAGTTCTAGTGGGAAGTAGTGACCAGTGGAGTCCACCCGGTAGGAAATGTGGACAAGTACCCACCGATGACACTGTCTAGTAGTCGCGATAAAATCACAAATTGGTAGAAGTTAAAATCCATGTGCTATCGAGTCAGGTCCCAATGGCTGAATGGTCTACGAGCTTTCCTAGTAACCAGAAGGTTCTGGGTTCGAAACCCAGAGTCCCAAACTAGGACGAAACAGCTATCCAGTACTCCATGATTTTCAGTTGTTCTCTAACTGATATCAATCTGTGATCAGAATTAATACAGTCTATTTTGTTTTCTACGCCAAAAAATATTAACACTCTTTTCTGTTCCCTTTGCAAAAAATTTTTCTTTGGAACAGTTAGCAGTATTTTTTTTCTTTTTCAAACAACTCTAAAGATAAAACTTCAATATATTAACGATCATCAATTATAATTTTGTTAGTCGGTTAACCAGCTCACTCAAAACTGTCAACAATATTTGTCCATGGCTCGTCAGATGATAAAAGTTATCACTAGCACATTTATTAAAAAACGCATGATTTTAAGTGGTGGAAGGTAATCCGCGAGAAGCCCCAAACCTAGATTTCGAGCTTTTGGATACTCGTCAGCAAGGCGTATCCACAATCATGAACGAACCCACGGCGCCTCCGAGACTCGGACTCGCGTCATCCAATGCAACAGTCAAAAACGTTACCAATGAACTATTTGGGCTTGAGATCGACCTCTTGTTGGATACTCTAATTGGCTGGTACCTAGCAACCAATCAGAAAATTTGTGGTCCTCCACTAAAATTCCTAAACGATGTTGATCTCTCAGGCTGATAGTGGTTCCAGTTAAAGCAGGGCCTCGACTTCTGCTAATATCGGAGGTCGCTTATAGAATCTTGCTGTAACTGTGTACTTCTTTTAATTTCAGTTAGTATTCCGCGACTTCTACTTTGTGAACGACACACGCCTACAATACGTTATTAAGTGCATATAAATGAATAATTCTTGAAATGTGGCTGAGAAATTATCAATGCATCATGGATAAACATGAGGGCTTACTTACCTTTTCTGTGGCTTGTCGTCCTGATCGTCTGCTACATAAACTTTTAATTCATACTCCACTCGACAACGCTGTAAAAAATTTTTAAAAAAACACGTGTTACTTTGATTTTCGTTAAAGCAAGAGAAACAAGATTTGCGCTAACTTCATTTCCACAGATAAATGAACTGTTATGTATCTTAGATAAACACATACACGCATGTAATTTTGATGCAACTAAGTGCATCACAATGAGCTAATCAGAAAAGACACCAAAACAACTAAAGTAAACCAAAAGAAAATAGCGTGCGGTTAACAAACATATTTAAGATTTTAATTTTACTACTTAAATGTGGTAAATCGTAAGTTTAATATCGTCTAGCGACGTAATCCTAGGAGTATAACACAAGTTCAGAAACCAAATAAACACTTGGTTGCATTTAACAGCGGAATCGAAGGCACATGTTTCATCCTTCATTTTTGGGTGCAAATGCATCTCCAGTGAGTATTGGTGTTCACAATCAGACTGGGACCCAACATCTGTCGTTCTACATACCTAAATAACAACGAATGTTTCAAGGTAACATTAAAATGCAAATACAATCAACTAACAACAGTCTTTTATATACAAAAGAACCTTTTTAGCATGATTTATTACGCAGAAAAGGCCTGATGAGTTTATCTGTATTAAATGTACAAATATGACTGACTTTATATTGAGTAACCTAATTCAGATAAATAACCATGAAGAAATGTGAAAACCAACTTCTAACCTTTAAAGAGAAAATACTAATCTTTAAGTTAACCACACCATGCAATAAACAAATTTAAAATGTCAAGTCTTCATGTGAAAGTGAAGCCAAAGCTTTAAAATACCCAACCGATGCAAGATAAATGAATTAATGGGCTCTCAAGAAAATGTCATGCCAGGTCTCAATACACCTATAAATGTAATAGTTCTGTTTACTAAGGCTTTCAAGGTTATGGAGATGTTTCCCAACTTGATAGCAGTAACTCTGACTCCTTCAAAAAGTCAACCACAAACTAAGTAGAAAACATTTATTTCCGATACAAGTAAGTAAAGGTTAATAAAGCAGGATTTAATGAATTCATCGAATTTCGGTAGAACTCGTCAGCTGAATACTCTACAAACTCTACTCTACCCTACTCTACAAATCGAATACGCTAATTATGACACTATTGAACAATCATCATAGGTATACTCAAAAATCAGGAACATACCTTGTTCCTGAAATACACCATGCATGGAAACACAGCTAAGCATTCTGCCAATTTTTTTCGTAAAACATTTAAAGCTGCAAAATAACTTGTTTTTTAAAAATTCTCATTAAAAAATTTCCAGTAACAGGAAGCCAACTGTAAACGTATCACTCTTAGTTAGCTCAAACGCATTTCATTTACTATTTAAAGTAATTACATTTTTAAGGGTTCAGGCAGCTTTTATTATAGCAGAAATGTAGTTATCATTAGTATGGTACAGTTAGTCGCTCTAACTAATAAAGATATCAGCTTTTCACCCATATATACACATTAAGTGGAAACATTACATTTAAAGATGAAAAACTTACTTTACCACGATCAGATGGGTTTAGAAGTAGAGACACTGAGGCAGGTGAATATGCTGGAAGCTACAGAGAACAAAAACAGCAGTAAAAATTTATTGATACTGAAGTCACTTTAGGTATCACTTTTGAGGGTGAGAAGTAATTATTTAATAAGATTTCTATCATAATAAAAAACCGTTAAAATTGTAAAATATCTCCAGCAATTTTTACAGAACAATTTAACTACCATTTTTATTATGTTTTTATACGTTAGCATACAAAAATGAACGCATTTATTCGGTATTTAAGACTTAAATTATTAGAAAAAAGAAAATATACAAATATGTCGTCGGTAAATACATTGACTCATTGAAGTAAACCACTGGCACCATTTAGTGGCATTAACAGATCAGAAGACGAATTAATTATCACGTAAAAGAATAGCAAACTAATTATTTTCACCTACAATGAATACAGGTGTACACGAAGACAATTATATAACTTTAATGCAACAAATATTCAAATGAGAATAGACCTAAGAAGAAAATAGCTTACAACCATACAAACTGTATATCGATTTATTTCAATTAAAACTGATCAAAATCCACAGTATAGAATAAGCTAAACGTAACTCGTACTAAATAAAGTTACCTGTAATTCGAATACTACAAACAAATGAACTGAATTAATTTCCATACAGTAATGACTGCATTATTTTGATTAATGATGGCTAGCAGTGGAATGCAGGATGTGCATTTCGTGCAATTTAGGACTAGTCAATCAATCGGAAATGCGAATTGACTTAAGTAAACAATATTGACTATATTTAATATAAAAGTAACATAATGAATGTAGCCAGTAATTAATGTTAGAAAATCCAAGTTACCTGAAAGTAGAATGGATACGCATTAGAACCGAGTTTTCTAACAAGACGTTCTTGTAATCGAGTACGTCCTGGAGGTTCAGTAAATTTGTAAGCTATATTTGACGACAATTCAGGTGTATCTCCATTACCGGGTAAATGAACAGGTATATGTGATTTTATTGTCTTGGAAGCAGTAGGTGGAAAAACTTGCTTCGTCATTACACAAAGATCTTTGTGATAATTCAATCCAAGTAAGTCAACTTCATCACGACCGTACCAAAAAGCACCCAGAAGATGGACGAATACCTTCCGATCTTTAACATATTCAGGATCAACTAGTACAACACCTTCTACATTTTGTTGACAACAACAATAAACATTGAGAAAAGAAATAAGAAATCATAAGATGAAACAGTATAAACACATTTTCTATACACAGATAACATCATTATCACGAAATTATTCACCGAATTCTGAAGATGGGTGTTTAAACTAAAAAAATCTCAAAACACTCTCACTTCATCGAGCATCCGACTAATATAATAAACAATAAAGAAAGAAGTATCCAAATCGATCATTAGACTATAGACGAATCTTGAGGAACATTTCACTCTAACTACTCGGAAAACTCGACAAGAAATGCATTCAGAGAATATGACCACAGAACGTCTATCATCTGCATCGAAAACCAAGTAGTTCTCAGTAAATTACGAGAAATAAAACAATCCCCCAAAATCACATAACAAGGCAAAGGAAAAGGGTAGTATTCAGTGTAAAGTAAGGTAATTTTAAATTATGTAAAGACTAGACCAACAATACCTAATAGAATTTTGAGCATAAACAACACTCATTAAATAAATAGAATACCCCATGTTACCTTTACTTCAGAAGTCCTGACGCCTCGGATAAATCAAAGTAATAAAAGTTAACACAGAAGTTACAGGAGCGTAGAACTCTCCCAAATAAAAGTGAAATGATAGGAGTCTACTGCACAAAAAGTAATTAACCCACTACAACTCGCCATACGAAAATTAATTCGTTGAACAAACGATCATATTAAGAAGCAATCAGATACCACATGACATCTAGTGGGAACACTTAACGACATCGGTAATCATTCAAGTAAAATGGCATTCAGCTGGATTTCATAGTCACGAATAAGTTACTTAGAAACCATAAATTTTTAAGAGAACGAAAAAACTTATGGTATTGACAACTTTATGAAGAAGTACGGAAGTAAACACAGACATATGAACACTCGGAAAAAATTCATAGGCAGATAAGTAGGCTTAAGGTAGTAATTTAACATAAACAAGATGTAGTGCAGCAACATTTCGAAGCTATCATTGTAAGTCCCAAAGGAGAAAAGTTAACCTTCTTGGCCGAATCGTCCTTCATTTTTCTATGACTCAATGAGTATTTTGGTCTTTCTCAAGGAGTAGTAAAATGACAAATGAATTATATTGGCCCAGTTTTAAGTGAAATTGAAACTTCGTTAAATATGTATCAGGACTGACTGACAACTCCATTTCTTTGTGGTTAAACATTAAAACGCATAGTATTTGTTTTATTGTTTAAGGTGTGAGATAAATGCCTTATGATATTCAAGCAGAACTATACATTCGTATAGGCAACCTTAGTAGCTTTGCCATTAACTTCTGCTGGACATCAAAAAGTACCATCACACTAAATACACCTTGAAAAGTTGACAGGCCAAACGCACAGATATCTGAAGCATAACAATAGAGAAGTGAAAATATTTCCCTCAATAATGCCAAAAATATATGTAAGGTGCAAAAAGTTATTAGTAAACGTCTTTAAATGAGTTTTTCGAAGCTAGATACCGTCGACTTTTGTATAAAAAATGTACACTTTTTAAAGCTGCGATAAAAGTATTAGACTGCCTTGTGATGTTTAAAATCAAATAAAAGCACTCAGTTTTAAAACTACGTTTATCACATGGTGTTTCCTGAGATACACCAACCCTGCATAACACCAACATGTTGAAAAAAGAATGAAGTTTACGGGAGCGACGGCAAGATATGAGTAGTACAAAGACATACAATGGGTATTATTCAAAATGTTAATTAGAATTTAGAGCTTACCGATAGGATCCACGTGGGTTAGGTGGTCGATAAAATCTCTTTTGCCAAGATATATTGTCAACTAAAATTTATTAAAGATTAGAGTGCAAACTACCTTTCCATTAGGCGTAGACTTTTTGAATATTCTACTTTGAACTACGTAAAATGCAAAAGATTTAATTTACCTCGTCCCAGGCTTGTGAACTTCCTCCACATTCATTTTCAAGCCATTATTATCCATTAACTGAACTTAATATGATAAACAGTGACCAAACTTTGGAGTGACATTGGTTAATGGTTGAGCATTATAATACCTAATTCTGAAAACATAACTTCGTGCCGCTAACTCCGAAATTAGCGGTGTTTAAAATTTCCATAAGACTGAGAAATTAAAACAAATTCAAATTCCAATATTAGATTTATTGAAGAGAGACAGAAGGCTTTCTTTTCATGCTAAGATTTTTCTGTAATGTTGTCGAAATTGTCTAATTCCTCCTTGACTGAATCATAAGGGGTCTTTGATACCACTTTTTCTGAGAGATTGTTAAATTGGCTAATGACTCAGAAGCTGAGCTATTAATCTACAGCTATATAGTTTCCTCTTGGACCACTGGCATCCCTCTCTGTGTGGCTTAGCCTTCCAGAAACGAGGTACTCTGATTTTGGAAGAGGGTTAATAGCAATCTACTTAACAGTTAGATACTTCCGTCACTTGGTATAGGCCAAACCAGACACGACCTACAAAGACCTGAAGCATCTCACTCCCGCGCTCAGCGCAAAACAGGACAAATACTCATCTTGATTTTGTGTCACAGTTTGCCAGTGACGCAAAATGGATGGTTAAATGTGTAGCTGATGCAAGATGCAGAATGCAGGAGAATCCAAGCAACAAACCACTGTGCATTTTTAAAGCAATAGCCGAGAATCGAAAGAACGATGAGGAGTTATAGCATATCCTCACTACAAATAAAACCAATCTCAAACTTGAAAAATCACTATTCGCTGTAGACGATGACTTCGTATACTTTAACACAACACATGGTTCACCTAGGTGCTTCGTCCCTATAATTAGGAGGAAAGCCACACTTATTAGTGTTCACTCGTTATCACACCCTGGAGCGAAGGCTTCAGTCAAATTATCTTGACTAGATACATTTGGCCAAACCTAGAACGCGACGGGAAGAAGTGAATGATAGGGTGGATGACACACTAGAGGGCGAAAACAAGTGGAGAATTCTAGCAGACGTATACTCGTTTCGTCCGTGTTCACGTGGACTTGATACGCCCCTGCCACACTCAAACAGATTCACTTATTTATTCGCATGAATCCACAGGCCTCCTTGGTTCCCAACAGCTGCACCACTTTCCAATGCTGCCGCGAAAATGGCAGTAAAAGTCTTTCTTCAACGTGTGTAGCCATGTTCGTTGTGCTCATAGCAGCAACAACTGACAGAGGAGCTCAGTTTGAGTCGGAACTTTCCGAAAACTTGTTGGAGTTCTTAAAAACAAACGAAATCTGCTGCACAGTGTATCATCCTCAAGCTAATTGGATGAAACAATCCTTTCATCGACAACCGAAGGCGGCGCTGGCATCTGACCTCATCCTATCACTAGACAGAATTCCTGCCGGCGGTAACACTTGTTATCCAAACATCAATAAAAATTGATGCTCACTATTTTACTACCGAAATGGTATTTAGAACTACCTTCAAGGAGAATTTGCTAGTCCTAGTGTTGATAAGAACAACCTTGATCAGGCTACAAACACCGACAGTCTTTGGCTACAAATAGTCAACTTAAGGATGATTCCCTCACGATAACAATCAAGAGCGGTATATATACCAAAAGCCAGATTTCTGTGCGTTGGTGGCACAGTGGTTAGGACTCTCGCCGACCATGCACATGGTCCCAGGCTCGAGTCCTCGCCGACGCTACGCAGGGTTAGAAAGGCCTTCGTAAACAGTAGTCAACAGGGAGGATGCCAATGCGAAAACCATTAAACCTGGCAAGTGGATTAAATGGGAGGAACCTCTAACTTATGGAAGATTTCTGTCAGTATTATGGAAGGAATAACTGGCGGATGAAATACACGAATACACTTGGTCATCAAATGCCTCTCCTAAAAATGGCTGACATAAAAATTTTCAGAAGAGTATGTGTGTTGATTGTCTCCGTTTTCCCCTAAATAAGAAAAACACACTATTTTAGCTTTTTTGAAACTGTCACACTGGATTACATTTTGGCTAAGTTTTAATGTAGGAAATGGAAACCTTACTTTTTCATGAGTAAATCAACGCCGAACTGAGGGAGGAGACATAGCGGGAATATGGAATTCTCACTTCATGGATACGTAAACAATCAGGTGTTTCGCTTCATCTATCGTTTTAGTTCAGTATGAAGCTTATTCTAGAGCCTGGCAGCCTCGGTCATGGAGTAATAAATGGGTGTTGGGTCCCTGTTGTTGATGTTACAACCAAACCATATGTCACTGATGATGAAAACTAAGTGGACATCCAATGAACTTGTTTATTCGAACCAGTTTCCTGTTTGTTGGAGGCAGCAATCCCAGCTGTGGCTTAGACGTTCGCTCGCTGACAGAAAACAGAAGTAATCCGATCAGAAGTATTAATGCATATTGTACTGATGCCATTTGTAGACATTTTACTTTGTTGACAGCAACCATCTGTGAAACATATGGTCAGGCTGCTGTGTAATTAGCTTGCCATATCCGCTCATACTAGGTGTACCAATTCATCTACTTATGTCTGTCTTTTAGCACCACTTGAGTCGAAATCGAGTTGGTTAGTATATATGTAAAATAGTATTCTAGAGAGTTGTTTTATGACTGCCGTTTTTGACACCATATCCGGAGAACTCCACAGTCACTCCATGGATAACTTTCCGAAGGTAAAAACTCTCAGTTTTCGGTTAAAATCTAAGACAAAACTAAAAGACTCCCAATGGAATCATATTGATAAGAGGCTTGAAGAACTATGAAAGTGTCGTTCTATTTAAGAAAATCCATTAGGCGGTATAAACCTTCGAATACAGGGTTTTCTGTCATCAAGAACAACCGAACCTATCCCTCACGTCCAAGATCACTGGTGGAGTAACACACCTGAAGGTCATTTTCGTCCATGCTGGTCGGCCTTGTTGGGTTGCAGTTCTCTAATTGTTCGTTTACACAATGGTTTTCACAGTTATCCTGCAGTTATTCACAACTTATCTTGATGCGCATTGTCCACAAATGCTGCGTTGTCGCTAAAATTGGTTATTTTGTTTCTTTCGAAATAACTGAAGCAATATTGTTCTATCCGAATCATGGTAATACTACTATTCCGCGATGTTCTCCCTTCTTTTCTTTCCCAAATTTCCTAACGATAAGGAGTGAGGATAAACGCTACCACGCTTTGAATTTAACTCGCTTCTGGTTTCTTGTCTTTCATCGGCTAGAACAGTGGCGGCCAATTATACTTTGACTCGCCGTAGGTAGCTGCCATCGTGTACGGGTTTGCGTGGTTGTGTTTTGCATGGTTTCCAACCAACTGTGATGAATATAGATGTAACCCTTGATTATTCCAACTTTGATTCACCGTTCTTTATGCAAACGATGCTTTTATCGTTGTACGCTCTCTTGAGACTGTTTAGTAGTTATGGTGGTTATCAGTGACTACGATCCAGCGGGTCCCGATTAATTCCTTGTGGTAATATGCACAATATTTCCTCCTTCGATATTTCACACTCACATGGTTTAGTATTCTGTTTCTTGCGAATTAGCTGTAACAAGGTGTGGCATTAATGTGTTTCGTCAACAAAGCCTTTTTTAGAAGTTCATTGTAGATAATCTGTGTAAGAGGAAGTAGCACATATGTAAGAAGCTGTGAACGCATTTGAAAAGGGTCAAAAAGTGAGAATCCTATAAATTTCACATACTTGTATGTGACTACGTTCACATGCAGAGGAAAAATCGGCTAATGAGATATTGTATAGTGGTGAGACAACTCTTTGGAGCTTTCTCTCTAATATTTCTGTCCATCAGACAATTAACAAAGTGTTGTTAAATGTATTTTGGTGGTCAGATTCGACGGCACAATTACTGGCAGTTACTGATACTAAATATCAAAATTTTTCATGATGTTTTCTGCACCATTAATGAGCTCCACATTTCAAAAGAAGTGTAAGCCATGATAACTGAACTTATTAAATACTTAAGCCATATATGGTCATGAGCGTTAATCACGTAAATGCTTAATTTATGTGAGTGAATTTAATCTGTATCACTTAGGAATGTCGAGTCGTAATGAGATCTGTCAGTAAGTTAAGTTTAGTGGGAAGCAGATGCAGTCGCACATGGGAAAAGATATCTGATATACACTGGCGAGTATTTTACGAAATATAAAAACATAAGTCTCCATAAACACCCTTAGGAACTAATCCTACGTACAACAACAATGAAAGGAATCTTCACTCATTGACTTATAGCAATGTTTTCCATGTAGATAAAGATTCAACGATCAATTCATGGTTGTTTGCTCAAAACCAACTTCCCCAATTTTCGCGGAGGCATCAATCAGCCAGTCATCGTCTCATCGGTCGCTGTTTAGAAGGAAGTCAGGAGACAACTTTCAGAAGTAATATTGTGATTTATTATTGTAATATTTGTTCACAGACCTTAGTTGTAACAGTGTTTATATGTTGGTGTAACAATAAAGAATCCTCGAGTCGCCAACTGGTGTTTTGGTTTTTTCGTCCGTTATTACTAAGCGTTTCTGAGAAACTTCAAGGAACAGCGTGAGCCCGAGCGTAGCAAGAGCTGGGCATTAACGGTTTATGAAACGTGGCTGACAGCGGTTTACGAGACGTGACTGACAGTTTCTGACGGGGAAATCAGTTTCTGACAGTGAAGTCAGTTTTCCACGGTTTTGGACAGTTGGCACGAGTTTGGATACTCACCGTTTATCTTTCCTGGTGCCGGTGAAGTCCTCTTTGAACAAGCAATATCTGGAACGTTTTTGGAATTGGGTCAAGTTCAACAATGCCTGGGTCAGAGAAGGGACAGAGCGTCTTGGATGCAAACAGGAAAGTAAGTCATGTTGACTTGTCTGTTACTTGTAACGATGTGTCTGATGTTCAACATGACATGGTTGATGTTACTGTTTCGCCGTCCAGGGATAATAGGAACATCAAACTCCCTAAATTTGAACCACGGTGTTTCGATGGAAACCCGGCTGATTATTTACAATTTGTAAGGGAGTTTGAGATCATGCTGAGTTGTTTTCTATTAAGTGATGAATTGAAGTTAATGTATTTGATGAGGTATTGCACTGGAGATGCTTCAAGAGCTATACAGTGCTGTAAGTTTATGAAGCCAAAA